CATGGTCGAATGATGCTTGCTATGCGTGGTTGTAGTGTAATCCCCTTGCCTAGCCTTGAGTTTTGAACCCCCTTGCATGCTTAACTTGAGGTGTTTCTATGTTTTGGCATCATTGAGCATGATATTTCAGAGCGTATAAGGTTGCCACATTCCCATGTTTATCACTCTTTAAATGTATTTGAGAGTTGTGCTTGTATACCTCATTTATGGGCCATTGCATGAGCTTCATTTTTGTGCATTTCCAACCATCATCTTAGTGTCTGAGAGACAACCTTTTTAGATCACTTTTTCAGCTCTCTCTCTCTCTCTCTCTCTCTAAAACTCTCCAAAAACTCAGATCTTGACTTTCTCTCTCTAAAATCCACCTTCTCTCTAAGATTTCATCTAGACCCATTATGTTCTTCACCCTAGTGTCTTTGAGAAAAAGGTGGAGTATCTCAAGAGCTTCATTTTGATCCAAATAGAAGTGGGTTTCGTCATTTTTAGAGTTCAACCTTGCTTTGCTCATCTTCTCTTCTTGAGGTAGGGATTTTCTACACTTTGATATGGTTTTTAACTTAGTTATTAATGTTTAGAACTACAGTCACTTGATTTGAATTTCGTATAGTTATATATCTGTTAAATGGAAATATGAATTGGGCCTAAGGCCGTTTGGAACATGTTGTCTTACATTGTTATGTAACTTCTGTATTTGATTTGATATTATTCACTGGGCTTTCGCTCACGCTCATTCATGTGTTTGTAGGTGAGCCAAGAGAAGTCCAGACCCAGTCTCAGTGAAGTCTGTATGGAACAACTAAGGTTTTGAGAGAGTCAGCCCTTGTGTCTCACGCACGAGACCCGTCTTCGCCCTTTTGTTATGTATTTACATTTTGTCAGGTTGGCGAAGTTTTGTATATGTCTACTTATGGTTTTATGGGTTGACTTAGTTTTGGATGATCCTGTCTGTACAGAACCTATGTCGCTATGTTTCTGTTGTGAGTTATTAACGTACATATGTATGGTTTGTTTTGATGTGCCATGTAAGCACAGCTCTATGGACAAAGTTTTAAATTTTGCTTCCTTTTTGGCCCCTTTACTCTGATGTGTTAAGTCTGTTTTGGTTTGAGGCCGTAGGTAATCTTAGGATTACTGGCCGGTTACGTCCTTAACCCATGGGGGCGGGTTCGGGTCGTGACATCCTAAGTTCCCAATTGGTTAGAAAATACTTAAGATAATGGAAATTTCACTTGATTCATGAAATTTGATGAACAATTGGAGGGATGAAAATGTGAATATTGATTTTTCAGAGTAAAAGAAATGGTTGTTCTCAATTGGACTCATGTGGTGGAATGTATGTGATTTGATTTCATGGTTATGGATATTTAATTGTTTAACAAGATGACACTATTTGAATTTATCTGTATTAGATTATAAAAGTTCTTGGTGAAATGTGGAATATACTTGCAAAACGAATTTTATTGTGTTATTTTATCACATGGACACCATAATTTTGTTCAAGGGTTAGATACCTGGATAAATGTATTTCTACTAGGCATATAACTCAACCCTAATTTATTTTTCAGGACTCGATGAAGTACAACCTCGTTGATGGGTCGGATCAAGCATTAGCCTTTTTGGGGAAAGTGAAGCTAGGGATAGATTAGTAGTTTTAACATTCAGGACTTTTGTAATAGAACTACCTCATGTATTTAGTGATGTTGTACGCCCAAGGGGCTTATATTTTGTTATGTCATCTAGTTCAATGAACTGAAAAACGGATTTGGACAATGTGGGAATGTATTTATTGAATTGTAATCGATTAACTTTTAGTTCAATGGGAAAGATGACTTATTTTGGATTGATTGATCATGTTATTGTTGTGTACCTTAGCTCGTATTTTCAGGGTGTTACACTTAGGTTCAATTAATGAAACATAACACATATGAGATACCTCCTTCCTAATTTGTTTTCGGGTTTTCATTCAATCTGAGATATTTCTAATCACCTGTTGAACTGGATGATTTAGTTTTACCCTTGCTAATGGCTTCAAACCAGGACTGGTAGTGATTTAAGCATCGGTGGTGATGTCTCTTTGTGCACTTTTTGGACTAGGACTTACCATAGTGATTGTGCTGATTCGCCTTCTTGAGCTTGGTCTTGTGCTTCTTCTTGATATTGTGTTTCGGTATCCAAAATTCTTGGATCAACATTTTCTTCCTCATTTAGAGATGCAATAGGGGAACCTGTGTCATCTTCAACCACATTGATCGATTCCATCAAAGATAATGTACGCAGGTTATAGATACAAAAAGCTCTACTAGTAGTTGAATACCCTAGAAAAATGCCTTCATCACTTCAGGAGTTGAATTTGCCCAAAGGCTCTCTATCTCTGAAAATATGACATTTACTCCCAAAAGTTTTGAAGTATTTCACATTAGGTTTCAACCCTTTCCACAATTCATAAGGAGTTTGTAAAGTGCCGGGCCTTAAATACACACAATTCACAACATAAACAATGGTATTTAAGGCTTCAGCCCAAAACTTGGGAGAAACTTTCTTGCTAAGGAGCATGACCCTAGCCATCTCTTGAACAACCCTGTTTTTCCTCTCAACAACTCCATTTTGTTGTGGAGTAATAGGTGTAGAAAATTCATGCTTAATTCCATGCATATCACAAAAATCTGAGAACGAGCTATTTTTAAATTCACAACCATGATCAGTTCAAATTCTTATGATATGCCCAATAGAAGCGCCTTGTTCATTATGGATTTTAAGGACTAATGACTTGAAAACATCAAACGTATCAGATTTTTCTCTTAAAAAGTTAGCCCAAGAAAAACGAGTATAATCATCAACAACTATACCTCCAATGCTTTCTGTATGAGTGGGTCCCATTAGATTCATATGAACAAGTTCAAGAGGACGCTTGGTTGTTAAGTTATTCACCTTTTTATGAGGGGCACGGGTTTGCTTCCCTAATTGACATGGTCCACATTTTTACCGATTTTGGGTACACCTCTCACAATTTCCTTGTTGGCAATCTTAGTTAGGTCTTCGAAATTCATATTACCTAATCTTTGATGCCACAAGTCAAGATTATTTATGATGACTGAATGACAAGTGAGATCATTTGTGATAACAATCCCATAACAGTTATCAGATGTGCGAACCCCATACATGATGAGAATAATACTTCATGATGAGAATCACACATTTGACTAATGCTCAAAAGATTTGCTTTAAGGCCATCAACAAATAAGACATTTTCAAGCTTGGGTAGACCAACCACACTTAAAGAGCCCTTACCAATGACTCTAGAAGTGCCGCCATCTCCAAAGGTGACAATTCCTTCTTCATATTTCTCAAGAGATGTGAAGTAGGATTAATCACCTGACATGTGTTGAGAGCACCAATTATCAAGATACCACATATGTGAGTCACGTGCTTTTAGTGCAGTGTGAACAACAAAACAAGATAGGTCACTCTTTCTAACCCTAACTTTTTGGTCTTAACAAAAGCGAGACTGACAGTCTTGGTAAATGTCTTAGCATTGTGAATACCATCATGAATCTTGGTATTCCACCTAGACATGTAAGGCTTTTTCCTTACCCAAAAGTACTAACATTTCTAACTTTTTGAGACACCTTACCAAAGAACTCATAACAATAAGGGCGAATGTGGCCATACCTACCGCAATGATGACAAACAAAAATAGGTTTTACCTTCTTTTTGTTGATCTTACCCCCTTTAGGTTAATTGAGAGATTTATCATCCTGTTGAACCTTCAACTTTCCTTTTGCTTGAGTCTTGATGTCATGTGATGTAGAGGCCTTTCCCTTTTGAGGTGTTGTATCACCATAGCCTATCCCACTTTTGCCACAACTCATTTGTTGAGACCCAATGATATCTTCTAGTGTATTTGACCCTCTATTCCACATATCAATCGTAGCTCTAGCATTTTTGAGTTCTTCCTCTTTCTGACCAACATGTTCTTCCATTGCAACTTGTGTTATCTCAAGAGATTCCATCTTCTCTTCATATGTGGCATACATTTTCAAAAGTTCATTCATTTCGATGTCACAAGTCAAGAACTTTGCACAGAGATCTTGTTTATCACTCAAGATCTTGATGACATCCTTACTTGTTGCTGAAATATCTTTCTTTAGCTTGACATTCTTACTCTCACATGCTTTGAGTTTGGTAGTGAGTTTGTCATTCATCTTGGATAGGTTTAGATTCACTATATAGCTTTTTATAGGCTTGTTGAAGTTCATCACCATTACTATCATCATTATCTTCTTTTTTGTTCTCTTTTTTCTCAAGCGCATCCAGTCGACCAATTAAAACAAGAACATAGCTGGATGGTTGTAAAGATGACTCTTCTCTTTCATGAAAGTGCATAAGAACATCCCATGCTTCTTTGGCATTCTTGCAGTGAGCAATCCGTTGTTGCTTTTTTCAAAAATGGCTTCACGAATGGAGTTCAAAACTCTTTCACTATTTTCCATGTTAGCTCTTTCTATATCACTCCACTCCTCAGTCGGCTTGTTAACCTTTTGGTTAGTGATTGGATCAATTACAAATGGTGCTTCAACATTCTCCTCAATTGTTCGTCAACCCTTAGAATCAAAGGCTTTGAAATAGACTCTCATTCTATACTTCCACTACAAGTAATTAGTCCCATCAAAAGTAAGAGCACGATGCACACTAGGCGTATGAGCAAACTCAACCGGCTTTGCAGTTGATTGAGTGACGCAAGAGTAGAATGCCATGTAGGTACTATCTTCATCAACACTAGATTTGGTTTCCTCAGCTTCTTGCTCTGACCCTCTTTCATTATTCCAAGTCACTGTGTAGACTTTCTTTCAGTTCTTTTTCGACGGACATTCAAGTGCGATATGCCCAAACCTTGGCACTCATAGCACTTTGTAGACACCCCAGTTTTGACCGACCTTAAGATTCAGACGTCACCAGTTGAGCACTCGGTGATATTGCATGTTGTGCTTGTTCAGAAGTTTCAGAGTCGCGGCTACGAGCCCTGCCTCCGGACTTCCGAACTCTCTACTGCGCCCTGCCTCGGTTTGCGAACCAGACTCGGTTTTTCTCTGTTTCTTGTCCTAAGGGGAGGGAGAGGTCCGGTAGATCATCTCTCAGTGGCCGTAGGCTACGTTCTGTGGCCGTAGGCCATTTTGCCCACTTCGGAGTCCGGTTTCCGATTTTTCGGAATCGTTGGTCGTGTGCCTCGGTTCGGGACCGCCCAACCATCTTCGTTTGCTCTTTTTTTTGGTATACTTCCTATTTACTCCCTTTTGAGGGACACTGGGGTCTCAGAAACCCACTTTGTGGCCGAACGCCACTTTCGGTGCTTAACAGCCCATTTTCGAGATCCCGAACTGCGTGTTTTGGCCCCCGAACATTCGTTTTGCACTGGTTTTCGTTCATTTTTGGCAGGTACCTCTATTTTATCACCGGGAAGGTCACCGGAGGGTGGGAGGCCAGTAATTGTTGCAGCAACCAGTTATATACCCTCCGGCGCCCTCCGACGCCCGTTTTTCACACTTCCGGGCCAATGTTGAACACCCTTGAGTCACTGTTGCCAACTTTCAACCACATATCTGTGATGTACACACCTGGGAGGCCCCTAAAAAC